TGTAACTAAACTGTTAAGTACAACAGGCTACTGTCCTAGGCTAAACACCGTTTATTTACATTTCACAAGTTTCCATGATCGGTCAGTTTGCCATGAAGGCAAGACGGTGCGCTTGCGTTTTCCGCCGTATATATGCGTCACCTTTTTGCAAAACGTCTTCTAAAAAAACTTAATATCTTAAAGCGTATGAGTTTCATTTCTTTTAGGAGCCGATTTTTGTTCCAGATCCAGTTATTTCATTAGCGGTGGAACCCAAAAACAAGGTGACAACTTCTTTTGTTTTATATACAAGACGCTCTATGAGCGTGGACTCGGGATGCCATGATTGGGTCGAGTTTAGTGGTTAATTAACGCTTTAATACTAACAGTGTTCGGCGAAACAGCCTTCCGTTTCGAGAAACCGCTCTGCGTTTTCACATTTTCCTAATTTTGCGCATTCGTGTATGAAAGTTAGACTTTACAAAACAACTTTCTAAGACGGACACGTTAGTCCCTGCCGTTTTGAGACCTAAGTTTCCCGTAACTACACCCTCTATCAGTAAGACTAACACATCTCTAAGACGGACAACAGACACTTTTGAAACCGTCAACGGACACTTAGGAAGTGCTTTATGTAGTGAAAAATACCTCAAAACGGAAATGTAGGTGCTCTACATGACAATAAATTACAATTTAAGGAAGCAGATTAAATAGCCAAATACATTACGCCTCTCCTACAGATCGTATCTTGTCGGCTTAATGCAATATCGTCGTTTCTAAACGCAGCGTGGAGAAACAAAATTACTGTCCTTTTAACCTGTAAACCTGTTAACACATCTTGGTCGTTTAGCCTGATTGAGACCATGTAGTCAATTGAGTCAGCGCTTTCATGTGTCTGCTTTTTAGCTCAAGGATGACGTAGTCATTCCTTGAACTTTTGGAGGAAGTCGAATGGCACTTGATCACTTACTCACGCACTCACGCATTTACTCCTTAGAAGAAATGGAGTGTTTTTGAGGATCGCCCCGTCAAATAGAAACATATTCACATGGATAGTCAGAGGGGCCTTTCATGCAATATCAGGCACAAAACTAAAACTTAATTTGCTTTGCGAGTTTTAAGAAACAGAAAATTACTGCTATTTAATAGCATGTTAAGCACCAAAAGTTGACCCTGTCACGTTTTGTAAGCGCACGACGACAATACGTTTGGGAATTTCCGGTTAGATCAAACTACAGTAGGACCCCAATAACTCGAACTCGGATAACTCGAACTCCCCGTTAACTCGAACTTACTCCAATTTCCCTTGGATTTTACCCCACTTTTTAGTCATTTTTACTCGGTTAATTCGAACTCGGATAACTCGAATTCCCCGCTAACTCGAACTAATTTTAATCGGTGCAACAAACGGATCACGTTTTATCATAAAAAATGCCCTATCATATTACCGTTTCTTATCAAATAGGGTAATTTTTCACTGCACTTTACCCTGAAGTGCTGAGAAATAAGTAACTATCAATTTTTAACCTGGCACATTGAACTTTGCAATCGACCGCGATAACTTGAACCCTCGCTAACTCAAACGCATTTTAGTTTCCCTTCAGAGTTCGAGTTACCAGGATTCTACTGGTTAAGTTATCTTTTATTGTTTCAAAAAATTAATTTGTTCACATACAGCTCCGACAAACAAATTGTCACGAATATATTCCCATTTTGGGGGTTTTGTTAACTATTGAACTGTCTTTTCTACACTAAGCCAATTCATCCATGAGCTGGCTCACAGGAGCCTTTGATCTTTTTCTCAATCGCCACCTTAGAAACGACAAGGGGACTCGGTCGAGTTAACTATCGCAAAGAGTTATGGGACTGTTACTAGGGTCGGAGGACAAATTAGCCAATAACTGACCCGCGCGTCTCTTGTAACGACCACAGAAACAATAGACCTTTTTACCTTGTATGTTTGTTTTCCCATTTCAGACCACGTGAGAACTGTTTCTTTCAAATGTTGTCTTATACACGTGCATCCATAGGCATATGTGTGCATAATTAATGAAAAGACAAAAGGCAAATTCCCTGGAGAACATCACGTGGTCTGAAATGGGAAAACGAAACATAAAACGATAGAAACTTGATCAGTCACAAATTTTCTTGATTGCCTTTCCTAAAAGTTCCTTTACGACACCTGGGGGAATCGTGGTTGATCTTGTCCTTTGGTTGTACGCCTTGGCGTCGGTGCTTACCCAAACAACATGTGAATGTCCCGAAAGCGCAGCTATTTTCCCCATATGCCAGTTATTAGAGTTAAAATTAAACATTTCAACAACTGCTCCGCCCGGAGGCATGAAGATAGGGAAGGCATGGGCCGCTCCATGCATTCCAAAGAAAATGTCTGCTGATGAAACCAGCTCTAACTGGGTTTTCAAATGCAGCGAGTCCAGTTGAGTTGCGACAATGGTGATGTTAGGAAAGTTTTCTTCCATTTCTTTTAAAACGTCTTTTTCATTAGCAATTTTGCGGTCGACCGTTCCGTCCAAATTCCTGGGGTGACTGTGGTAATCTCTTTTAAAGTTGAGCAGGACCTTTATTTTGTCCTCGCTGCAGTTGCGAGGCCTCGCATGCACAGGGATGCCAAACCGCTGCAGTACGTACTCCCTAAATGGCTGAACGTACTTCAAAGTGTTCACGTTTCGATCTAGCAGAGGACAGTAAGCCCGTGGGTAACGCCATAATAGGCTTTCGAACACAACACCGCTAGAATTTGTAAACAGGCTATCGTTACCGAGTTTGATAAGCTTGGAAAAGACCACACTCCAAAAGGGGTCGAGCGAAGTGGGAGGGTGCGCGTCCATGAGAACGATGTTGAGGCTCTCTGGTGCTATCCCCACAACTTGTGTTGTGATGAAAATATCCATAAGATCAATGACTGTCCAGTAAACATTGGCATATTCGACCCTTTGAATAGCCAAATAATGACCAGTGTTGAATAAGTGAGTTGTTCCCATTAACTGCGGAGTCCAAGGAATGATAACTTCCACTGCTAGCCCCCAAGAAGATAACGCGTTATTGATGGTCGCCTGATGAAGCTTCTCCTTTACCTGGTCAATATCTCGATCACAATACAGTGTAAAGAAACCTCTTTGTAGTTGGAAAAATTCGTCTTCTTCTTGCGGGTACTCTAACTTGACTTGAAGAACTTTTGCTTGTCCAAGCGGTGGTCGAATGGTAATATTCTTGAAATGCAGAATTCCCCTATCCACTTCAGTCATTTTCTGCAGACACGATCCATTCAGACCGCCCACGGAGACACGCTTTGTAGTTGTCACTGGCATTGCTTGCTTTACATTTGTGCCCTGAGGTTCTTGAACATCTCTTTCTTGCGTCCTTGACCAAGAGAGAGTTTGAAGTAGATAAAGATTGGCTGATAAAATTATAAAACCCAAAACAAGCACGGCGGATTTAGTGCGACTGAAACGTTTTGTTGAAATCATAGTTGATGTTAAACGAGCCATATGGCGACTTCTTTTTTTCTCTTGTGGCTTGAGCTTAAGAAGGAGAGAAAAAAAAAAGTAGTAAGTATGATGAAAGAAGTTATTCATTATGCTTACTGGCTTATAGCCAGTACGAATCATGTCCACCAAAGTCTGTGTAAAAATACGTGCAAACGGACCCAACAACTTCCAGCATCGTTGGGCCAACAATGTTGGGAGTTGTGTCGTCCTTGTTGGCAGTGGTGTACCAACGGATGCAACAACTCCCAACAATGTTGGGACCTGCAGTAGGGATCCATATTCATGTTTTCTTAGAGTCGTCAGCCGGGCAAGTAAGCCTGATGGCCTACTTGCCTGTTTACAATTTGGGTCGCCCGCACAAAAGTACAGAATTATAATCTTAAAAGAATGGTGAAAAAATTGTGTGCAACTTGAACATTTCTGATTAGCATTTATTTCCGTTATAGTTACTTACTAAGAAAGGGTTGTAACTAAACTGTTAAGTACAACAGGCTACTGTCCTAGGCTAAACACCGTTTATTTACATTTCACAAGTTTCCATGATCGGTCAGTTTGCCATGAAGGCAAGACGGTGCGCTTGCGTTTTCCGCCGTATATATGCGTCACCTTTTTGCAAAACGTCTTCTAAAAAAACTTAATATCTTAAAGCGTATGAGGCACCGGCTTCTGCTTCACCCTTTTTTTCCGCCAAAGGCGACGAAACGCCTTCTAAAAAATGCCAGGCCTTGATGACTGCTGTCACGATTTCTGCGAATGGTCCCTGAATGCAGTACTTCACAAAAAAACTGAGCCTGCGATCGTTTCGTAGAAAATGCTGCGCCATCAAAGATGGCGCCCAGACTTATTTCATTGCAGACAAAAGCTGCTTGCTATTCTCCATTATTCTCAAAGTTTTAAGTGGATTAGAGAAGTAATCAGAACACAGGGAAAATGTATAAAATCATATAAGAATTTTTGAATAGATTTTGTGGTTGAGCACAACCTCACTCGTCTGAAGGGCGACTTATGAAGTTATCTTAATCGTCCGCACGAGATTGTAGTCGTCTGGGACGACTGGACGACCGGGATCCCTGTGCAGTACATCGTGGGAAAGATGCAACCAATAAACTCCAAGAATACCATGTGTAGTGTGCGTGCGTGGGCCCAACAATGTTAAAAAAGAAGTGCAAACGAATCCAACATCGTAACGCTTGTATCACATGCTTCGTTGCACCAACATGTTATTACTATATTATTGCACGGACCTTTGTATACTTTACACCTTTGCACATTTTGTACATGTTTAGTGATTCCAACGCATTAAATATTCAGTTTAGGACATGTAACAGACACGTTAACATGGTGGCAGCGGTGGGATTTTTTTCTCCTCCCTCACAGCATTTACGTGGCTTAACGATTTAAATCTATTGGCAACCATGGCTTTAAACACTCCTTTATCCAGATTTTAAAACAACGGGAGATTACAAACACGACATTGAGGTATTCATCGAAGATCTGAAGGATTACTGCACCATGCAAAACTGGTTCGATCCGTCGAAGGAGTCACAGGCTGCAAAATGGACAAAACAAGAGAAGGCGATGGCATGCCTTAGGGCGTCACTGTCCCCTGCGAGCAGAGCGGTCTACAAATACAGTTTAGGGCTTTCAGCAGAAGATATGGCGAAACTTCACTTGATTATTAATGCCCGAGGAGAATATTACGGATCAAGCATCGGGTTGTCCGGTGAAAGACAGAAGTTTCTTCGCCTTCTGCAAAATGAAGACGAATCGATCGGTTCTTGGGAAACCCGTATGCGAAGTCAAGCTTCACAGTGCGAATATGACATTTCGCTGACGAGTTTATGCCAGACTCAGTTTATCGCCGGCTTAACGTCTGAAACCCTGCGTGTAAAACTAATCGGTAAAGGCCACAGACACCGAGATGCTGCACAAACCAAGGTCAAGTTGCGGGAAGTTGTTAAAATCGGAAAAAGCTTTGAGGCGACTACTTTTGCGAACCAGTTAATGAGAACCGCCCGAAGCACCCAGCCGGAGCAAGTAAATGTCACGAACAAATCCACACGTGAGAATCAGACTTCTGCTCCACCAACGCCACTGTGTTTTTGGTGTCACGGCAGCCATCCCAGTCCTCGTCAACATCATTGCCCTGCGTTTAGCAAGAGATGCAATAAGTGGGGAATCCTTGATCATTTCGCTCGTGCATGTAAAGGGGGAACAAGAAAGCAAGTAGGCAACGGGCAACAGTCAAATTTCGTTGATGATGATGCAGATGAGGAGGCGTTTATAGCAGAATGCAAAGCAACACGTAGACCTGCAAAGAAGTTCTTCGCTCATTTACACCTTGTTCACGACGGGAAGTCGAAAATTGTGAGAGCACAAATCGACTCAGCTTCCACTTGCAACACCATACCCAGCAATTTATTAAGCCAGTTATTCCTTAATTTAAAGGTGTCAGAGACCAAAAGCAGAATCTGCACATATGGAAGCCAAACAATGCGACCAAAAAGGTCAAGTGACCCTAGTTTGCTACAGAAAAGGCAGACTAGGCAGACTACAGACAATAGATTTTCTTGTTGTGGACGTCCCGGGCGACAAACCACCACTTCTTAGCGGAAAGAATGCGCAGGCTCTGGATTATTTGAAGATTTATGCAGACCAAACAAACGCAATTGAGGACGAGATTCTGCAAACTCCGTAAACACTTCCCCCACTCGGAATGCTAACGGCGGTGGACATTTTACGGCAGTATACTAATGTTTTTAGACCGGGGCGCGGAAACCCCCCCAGGATACCTGTGCATATTGAGCTGGACCCCTCTGTTACACCTGTACATGCCCCAAAACATCGAGTGCCCGTGGCAAAGTTAGACCGGGTAAATGAAGAGCTGAAAAGGCTTTCTGGAGAAGGGATTATTAGGCCTGTTACCCAACCCACAGAATGGCTGTCTAACATGCTGGTTAAAGAAAAACCAAACGGCAAACTTCGTATCTGCTTTGCCCCAGGCCAGACAATAAATAAGGCGATTAAGAGATCCAAATACAAGATACCGACCATCGAAGAGAAGCTTCCTTTAAAAACAAAAGCCAAAGTCTTCACCATTGTTGATGTATCTGAAGCATTCCACACCACTGTACTGGATGAAAAGTCCTCTCCACTCAAGACGTTTCAAGGGCCAAATGGTCGCCATTGTTATAACCGCATGCCGTTCAGTATTACTTCTGGTCCGGAGGAATACCAGCGGCAACAGCATGAATTCTTAAACGGTCTACGGGGTGTAATTAACATCGCCGATGATATTTGCTTGTATGGGTGTGGCGACACAAAGGAAGACGCTGACATCGACCACCACCGAAACTTGGTGCAGTGTGCCAGACACGATCTACGGCTCTCTGCGAAAAAACTTCAGTTCAAATGCCCATCTGTCACTTTCATGAGGAACAAGCTTACCCATAAAGGACTGGAGCCCGATCCTGCCAAAGTAGCCGCCATCAGAGAAATGCCAGTTCCAGCCGACAAAGCTGGAATGTGCCAATACCTGTCCAAATTCTGTCACAACCTGTCCGAAACAGTCTTGCCATTGAGGGGCCTTACCAAAGATGACTCTGTATTTCTATGGCCTGAAAGTCACGAAACAGCGTTTAACTCAGCTAAACGTCTGATCGCCTCAAAAACCGCGCTGCGCTATTATGACCCACACTTCCCAGTGACAATTCAAGTAGATGCATCTAACTACGCAATGGGTAGGGTTTTACTACAAGAGGGGCACCCTGTGACGTGTCTGTTTCACTTCACACACCCTCAGCAACACAAAGAGAAACTATGCTCAAATCGAGAAAGAGTGTCTTGCGATCGTATCCTGCATGGATAAATGGCATTACTACTTGTACAGCAAACATGACATCACAGTCCACTGAGACCACCAACCCCAGGAGACAATCTTTAAGAAACCCTTGAGCAGAGCCCCCCACAGATTGCAAAGAATGACGTTGAAGTTGCAGAAATATTAGTTCACTGTTCGTTAGAAGAAAGGGAAAGAACTTTTTATAGCAGACACACTGTCTCGCTCAGCCACCAGTGTTCATAATGACACAACCCCGACAGTCATGCAAGAGTGCGAAGTGTTTCGTGTAGAACTGGCACAAATGGATCTGGGGGCAAATAGAGTAACATATGAAACAATGAACCAGATCAGAGAGGAGAGTTCAAAAGATCCTGTTCTAGCAGTATTGCATAAAGTGGTGCTAAGTGGATGGCCTTCAGAAAGAAAGTGCCCGAGCAAATCAGAGTTTACTAGGATTCAAGAGACAACATCACAGTGTATGATGGAATCCTTTACACGTCTCATCAAGTTATCGTACTTACATCCTTGCGACCTGAAATGTTACGGAAGATATATAAAGCTCTCCAAGGCGCAGATAGTCATACGAGCCATGAAAAGAAATTTTGCCCGATGCGGAATTCCAGACAAATGCATAACTGATAACGGCCATGAATACTCGCGTTTCGGGTTTACCAGTACAAAATCGACACCCTGCCACAGTCAAGGAAATGGGAACGCAGAATCGGCAGTTAAGATTGCCAAGAATATCTTGAAGAAATCCCGTAACGAGGACCCTTACTTAGCTCTCTTAGCGTACCGAAACACACCCCAACAAGGATACGACTGTTCCCCTGCCGATCGCTTGATGTCCCAAAACGAGTATGTCCCAGGGTTGTGCAAGAAAACATTACAGAAAGGAGAAACAGGTCAAAGGTGCAGAACGACATGAAGGCACTAACCCCTCTTAGAGAGTTCACAGAAGGGGGAAAAGTGTACCTCAAACCGCGCCCCAACCATGGCTCCATGGGAAGGTAGTAGAAAAGCCCACACCAAGGTCCTGCGTGGTCAAAACAGCAATGGAACCCGTTCGCCGTAATCATTGCCAAATCAGGAGAGCGAAAGCAGAGCCAGCTGATGGATACAGCGCAGTGATGGACCAGCTTAAAATCGCGTCTACGCAGTCAGAACAAGAACAGGAGAGACAACCACCAAACGCTGACTCAACAGGAGAAACAATGCTGAGCACACCCGGAATCGAATCAGAAGACACGTTACGTGCAACAATAGAATGTGGACCTCGCCGATCACAACGTGAGCGCAGACTGCCTTCAAGATTCAGAGACTAAAATCTCACTCGACTACTATTCAATACCGCCAGCTACGAAGGCTAACCACGAGCTGAAGGCCGATAAACGGCTTATTTTTTCATCGGCTAGGATTCTCAAGGGATGCAAAAATACATTGAGGAAAAGTGCCACTACTGTTTATCTTTCTTTGGCTTTTTCACCCCATGCTGGCACTGGTGGCATTCACAAGTTTCTCTTGTTTTTAATTATGTTAGTTTCCTAAAGTCGCATTTCGAATTCGAATTCATTTGCGGGTGCAGACAACGAGCAAGCAGTTGACAATTTCAGTTTTCGCACCAAGGATCTTTCGCCAATGTAAAAAACACAAATTGGTTAACCACATGTCTTCATAGAGTACACGAGTTTGGATGACTAGGTTAAAGAACGGAACGCCTTACCATGACAGCGACACTTTCGTTGTAGCTCCAAACCGTGGAATTTTAAATACGCTGTTCAATTACGAACTGCAATTCTGGTGGTGGAAATCGATGAACCACCGACTAAGAAAATCCGCGAATGTGGCGCAAAAGAAACGCAGCTCAGTTTAATATTAGTAATTGTAACGTCGTGTTTAATATTTCCAATAAACATTTGTAAATTTGTTCTTCGTGAAAAGCTAATTAAAATGCGAGGGGATTACGTATTAATATACAAGGGGGATAAGTCACTTAAAAAAAGAAAAAAGGTTTAAAGGTTTGTTTATCGTGGAAAGTGCTGTTAGCTTATCCAGCTAGTTTACAGGCACTCCACTCAAGTACTTAGAAACAAATAATTTAAATACAACATAACAGGATTAAAGACCCCAACTGGCAGGAGGCAACCAGTTGACTATTTACTTATCCCTCTTGCATATTAATACATAATCTCCTGGCATTTTAGTTCGCTGTTCGTTAGCCCCGCTCTTCCCTTCAAACAAACAAAGCCGCACCCAGCTTTTCAGACAGTTCATTCGGTGATGATGTAAAGGGTTATTTTTACATTGGCGAGGATTCTTCATGGGATACATTGAATAAAGATCCCTCTATTGTTCAGCTTTCTTTTGTTTTTTCAACACTCCATGCTGGCACTGGTGGCATTGACAAGTTTCTGGGCTTTTTAATTATGTTAGTTTTTCAAAGTCGCGTTTCGAATTAGTTGTTCGCAGTGAATGCTAGAAACAGCCTAATGAGCCTAGCAGTGTCGAGCGATTCAGAGTCAGAAGTAGAACCGTTTATTACTCAAACCGAAGCAGCTTAAGTGGCTGTACTGCAATTGAGCTTTCGGAAAGCAATTTTTAATCTTCATTCAAAAAAAACACAAAGAGGTCAACTACATGGAGTACAAGCGTTTGGGATGACTGGTTAAAGAACGGAACGCCTAAATATGACAGCGACACTTTCGTGGAACCGTGGAATTTTAAAAACGCTGTTTATTTTCGAACGGTCGTTCTGGCTGCGGAAATCGATGAACCACCAACTAAGAAAATTCGTGATTGTGGTGCAAAAGAAAGCTCAGTCTAACGGCTCGTGAAATTACGTATAACAATTTTGAAATATCTCTCGTGGTATTTATGCCAAATATCAGTACTAATCATGCTATTACCTATACTTATAACGTCGTGTTTAACATTTCCAATGAACATTTGTAAATTTGTTCTCTATGAAAAGCTAATACACCGTATTCACAAATGGCGGACACGCGGGAAAAAACTGGTGCCTAGTCATGAAAGCGAGGCGTTGGAGGATAAACAAAAATTGCAAATGAAGACTTTCAGTGAACTTGCAGAGTGTTTAGCACGGATTCCACCAAAAATAACTTTGTACGGACTTCTTTTTAAATACAATTACGTGGGATGTCTTCTGCCTTTAATGTTTGGTAGTGATTTTCTGTTTGCAATCAAAAGGAACGCGTATATCTTCAAGGAAACAGGATGATTTTGTAGGTTTCCAAAGCATCAGAAGCTTGACAAGTGGGCTATGGCTCGAGAAAAGCGGCAAAATGTTGGCCCAAACTTCACATTGAAACCGAGTACGAAAGCCAGATCACTACAATTCTGTAAAAAGGAAATAAAAACAGATATTGGTGGCGAGAGAAAGAGAAATAAGCGACGGATATATGGCCTACTTGTTAACGGAAGAGACCTCCGCCATTACACAAAACAGGTCAAGTCGAGAGCGGGTGAAAGATTCATTCACAAGGCTCATTTATTCATGTCAGTGTCATTTTATACATATCTATGTATATATGTATTTCTGCATTTACAACTTCCTTTGGATAATATTAATTCC